TGTTGTCGTTCTGCGTGATTTTGCGTCCAGTCATGGCGTTACGCCCAGCACAGAAACTTAACAGTTCCGATGTAAACACATCACATTCCTGTATTGTATCTATTTTTAATTTCCTATTTCTTGCTACTATGCTCTTTCCATGCAAATGGGTGTCTGAAAATTTGAGAAAATGCTACACCGTGTAAAGTCTGAAATTTTCTTTGTTTACATTTCAAACAGGTGTTGTCTTTCGAGCACAACAGTTGTTTCCACCCCCAATATCTTTCGTTTCACTTTATCTAGACACTTGGTATTGGTGCCATTTAGACCAGTTGTAATTAGATTCTAAAATGTATGAGGGAATTCAGTAGGCTGGGACGAGTAGGAAACAATGGAATCGAGTAAATTCGCATGTACGCACCTCGAATCGAACCGAGTAATTCGTAAGAAATGTAAGAAATACATTCTGGTCAACTTTCTGAGCTGTGACCTTTAAAATGACCTCAAGGTCACTAAATTCAAGTGGTGTCGGTAAATCTCGTCAATAAACCTTGGTACCAAATTGGAACAAAATCCATCATTTCTTTCTCGAGTTCTTTCAGTAAACCGAAGGGGGAGTCATTTGAACAAGCGATTGTAGTTCAAATTGCCTTTATGTGCAGTTTAATATCTAAGTTTGATTCTAGCCGACCTCTACCAATCTCAAACATACAAAAATGTTTCTTGCATATTTTGTTTCCTGAAGTTTAATTTGTGATGCATTTTATTGCTAGTCAGCTAGGCTATTCCATTTGTCCGAACCACAACATACGGAGACAGATCATTTAGCAGACCGAGTGCTGTACTTTGGAATTGATTACCTGAAAATGTCAGAAAATCGGAAAATATTAATAGTTTCCGATCTTGTCGCAAAACCATCCTCTTCAAACGAGCATTCGACTAAGCGCACATGAGCAGGACTCTGGATATGTAGCGCTATACAAATGTCTAATTTGATTTGATTTGATTTGATAAACCCGTTAGAAACCCACCCCACCCCACTTTATATTTATACATATCAAAACCTCAAAAGATATTTGCGAAAAGACATGACACAGAGGACAGTAAGAGATTTTATATCGATTATATACTCTCCCAAAAAAGAAACGCATATATGAATTTACTGTATTTTTATGTTTATTTTGAAACACCTTAGGCTTTAGGAGTCAATGAAATATAGCGAAATTGCACACTGGGAATGCAGACTTATCCGTCTTTGGCACCAACTCGAGGAAAGTCAGTTTGAGTGTCACATGGAGACGTGTGGTGGCGCTGAAGTCAATACCTCGTGTGACCACCGTGGGCATCCAGAACTGCACGGCATCGCTTCGGCATCGAACGAATAAGTCTCAGAATCTCGTGTTGCCCAATCGCAGCCCACTCTGCCTGTAGTGCCTGGGCGAGTTGCTGAAGTGTCTGGGGCTGAGGGTTACGGCGTCGCACTCGTCTGTCCAGGGCATCCCACAGCTGTTCAGAAGTCCGGTGATCTTGAGGGCGAGGGGAGTACATTGATGTTGTGGTTCTGGATGAAGTCTCTAGTGTGACGTGTTGTGTGGGGCCTGGCATTGTCTTGTTGAAACAACTCCCTCTGGCGATCAATGATTGGAAGGAGGTGTGGGCGTAGGGCTTCGTCAAAGTGCCGTTGAGCTGTCAGGTTGCCCTTAATCATCACCAAATCACTTCTCCCACGGCAGGTGATCGCTCCCCACATCATTACACTTTCCCGGCCGAATCTGTCCACCTGGTGAACACAAGCGTCGGCAAAACGTTCACGTCGACGTCTGTACACCCGCATTCTTCCATCGCGTCGTTCCAATAGAAATCGTGATTCATCACTGAACCAGATTCTACGCCAATTCGGTAGGTTCCAGGCCTGAACGTCGGTGCACCATTGAACTCGATGTCGACGATGTTGTTGTCGAAGCACAGGGCCAAAATAAGGTCTTCTGGCACGTAAACCAGCCTCTCCCAACCTGTTTCCGACGGTCTGTGCAGAAAGCCTCCTCAATCCTGGTATTTGTCGAGCGGTACTGGTCGCCGTAGCTGTTCGATGACGCAGGTGATGTACCCGGATGTAGCGATCCTGCGCCGCAGTGGTCGCGCGAGGTCGCCCACTACGAGGGGCATTTGCTACCGCATTCCGCCGGCGATATCTCTCCCAGAGCCGTGAAATGGTGCTTTGGTGAATATTCATGCGTCGGGCAACTGCACGTTGAGACTGGCTAGCTTCAAGCAAACTAATGGCGATATGACGGTTGGCTTCACTTAAACGTGGCACTTTGCGTTCGTCAACAATATTCCAAATACAGTGAATAATCGACAGACAGCGAGCAACCTTATATACCCATCATTGAGACTATCTGATCCCCAACTTTCACGTGCATTGCATATGAATTGTGTATTCTGTGACACTACACTCCGAAATTGAAAATCATGCTGTTACATACGGGTATTTTACGGATGGTGCGTTTTGTTGTGATGTTTCAAAACATAAACACCATAGGACTCATAAACAGAGCAAAACCTTCTGTAAAAGGAATCACGTTTTAATTCACTGCTACATGAAATTGCTATTTTCATTATGCGTTTCTTTTTTGGGAGAGTATATATCAGGACGAATGTCATTTTCGTCATTTGGCTAAGATTTGTCAATTCATTCTTGGGTTATCGCGCTGACATTCTTTATATTGGCAAAACCCTCGGATTTTTGCTGTGACCTTGAAAATTATCTCAAGGTCACTCCATTTCACTTGTGTCGGTGAATCTCGCCAATATACCTTGGTACCAAATTTGAACAAAATCCATCATTCTTTCTTGAGTTATCGACCTAACAAGTTTATTTGATGCATGAAATGCAACGAAAAAACACCCGCGTATTTACGAGTGATTAAAATTGTTATTACAATTTACGTAAATATTTATTACATTTTACCGCAACGAAAATTCTTATAAAATTTACATCAATTTTTATTACAATTTGCGTATTACAATTTACGTCAATTTTTATTACAATTTACGTTTTTATTACAATTTACGTCAGGTTTATTACAATTTGCTGCAAGTATTACAATTTGCGTTTTTATTACAATTTACGTCGAAACATGATCGTTTCGTAGCCGCCACTGAGTCAATCACTTCGCCCTTTACCAAATAAGCGGGAGAAAAAACGTTTCAAGAGATGTTACGATACTTGTCAGTCACTATCAGTCACTGGGTCAGTTGTCAGTTATTGTATATTATTTGTTTAACGCCGCACTCAGCAACATTCCAATACGGCGGTGTTGCAGATTCCTTGAGTAACGTCCTGAGTCAGTAATCGAGTAAGTTACTAAGTCCCTCGCTAAGTTACTCATGCCGTTTTCATGTGGAGGCCTAAAAAATAACTTTGGGTCCTTCACTTCTTCATGACACTTTAGGTATGTGGTTCTTTAGAATATATTCTGAATTATTTTCTGAAATGTAAGTGCTGGTAGACACCATATCCATGTGTAATTGTCATATAGCTATTATTTCGTGGACGAGATATTATTAAAGAAGCAAGTGTGTCATTCGCTTATAAGAAACGAGTGTGAAATTTTGTATTGCCCTAGCGAGAGCGATACACAATTTTGCACGAGTTTCGTATAAGTCGTGTTGCACACTTACGAGTTTAATAATTTCTACATTATCCATTTTATTCATGAACATTTGTGCATTAAAATACGGTAACCAAGTGTGACTGCCCTGTTAATTGACGTCACGTTCAATTGTTTAAGTGACGTCACAGACGTCGAAATAGAGAAACAATGGTTGCTAGGCAAAAGTGATATGTGCACATGTGAACATATGATATATATGACTCTGGTTATTTTTCACCATATGGATAATAATATCGAATATTAACACAGTCAACGAGCCAGTCACCCAAACCGTTTACCTTTTTCTCCTAAGTAATTTCTACGAATGAACCTGCTTAGCCTATAGTGCCTATTGTATGATCCCCAGGGAGTTGAGATTGACAATACGATGTGCCGTTGAGATTGACATCCAGTGAACGAGGGAAAAACAAAGCGCCTTTGAGCAGCTGAGCTGAGCTGGATATCGGCGCTATACAAATGTATGTATGTATGTATGTATGTATGTATGTATGTATGTATGTATGTATGTATGTATGTATGTATGTATGTATGTATGTATGTATGTATGTATGTATGTATGTGTGTGTGTGTGTGTGTGTGTGTGTGTGTGTGTGTGTGTGTTCGGGGTGTGTGTGTGTGTGTGTGTGTGTGTGTGTGTGTGTGTGTGTGTGTGTGTGTGTGTGTGTGTGTGTGTGTGTGTAGTGCCACCGGTGTGTTGATATTTTAGGGAACACTTCATCAGGAATCCGTCTCAAAGTGGGTTCCAAATATTCCATGTTTGAGCAAGAATCAAGTGAATGCCGGAAGGCATGAATAGGTGCCCTGGTTCGTCGAAACACAATCCACTTACTATTTAGAGTGCGGAGTGAATCTTCTTTTAAGCCGTGGTTCACAGTATTGCAGCTACAGGACAGCGAATATATCCTTCTTTGGAATAGGGGAATCAGAAGCAAAATCAGCCACAAGGCTGGTCATACATTGTACTGAGTGAGTGAGTTAATATTTAACGTAACATAGGCAATATTTCTGCCATACCGTGACCAATACCAATCTATACTTTAACCCTATATAATAAATCTATATCCTAAGAAACTGTCGTTAGGGGACAGCAAAAACACAAAAGTATCACAGGTTTGGTTAAAACAAAGGGTAACTACAAAAACCAATACAATATAACAATGGGCTAAGATCACCAGCAGTTAAAGTCGGGGACTTATGGTACTTTTGCTACTTGCATGGACCCATAATAGCCGAAGCTCCTCACTCACGGGGATTCTGTGACAGGTATTAGGTACTGGTGGTTCTTGGAACCGACCTGGGAATGTGAACAGCTACCACAGGTAAGGAGTGCACAATTGTACTCACATTTCACGCACGAATTCGTGGAGGGGTCAAACCTGCGCCCGAAACCACACCCACAGAGCCCTGTCCTGAAGGAGGCGGTGACAGGACAATTAACCGACCCGCACCGTCGGGTGACAATGTTGAGTTCTGGAAAAAAAGCATGTACAGTGAACACTCACAGAAGTGTTAAGTCAATATACCTTACATATACTGCACTACTTTCAGTTAGGAAATACTACAAGGCGATTACATAACCGTACACAAGATGAACATCTTTAAGTCATGATATGCCCCAGTGAAACACATTAAGCTAGGTGGCACAAGAGGGTCTCCATACCTGTACACATGTGCAAACATTTCGGGCGACTAAGTAATACGGTGGTTCCTACATACATGTACACACTTCCAACTACTTTAGACCAGATGATACAGTAAGTACATTTATTGAGATTGTTTATCTGTTATATAACGACAAACTCAGCAGTATTCCTGCTAAATAACGACGACTCAGTGATCGCAATCATGAGCTTCGACCTACGCAGTAAGAAACGATGGCATGCATCAACTAAAACAGCCAGCCTGACCAATCGATCTCATTAATCGCCTTCAGCTGGGATACTGTCAGACCTTGCAATTAGTGAATATCTTGGAAACAGGGTATACCAAAATACTGACTACATACCTCAACACAAAGTTAACTATTTTAATCTGGGGGTAGGATTGTAGAGTCTTCTCACCTGTACACATAGTGAACCACTTCGAGCCAGAAGAGCTGTGGAGATATGCAGTGCTGGTTCTAAGAGGATAGCCATAATAGCCAGAGCAAATACCAGTCAGTGGGTTATAGATGAAGCTCTTGCAGAGGATGTCGTTGTAACAACGAAGTAGGCAGTCGACGCGAGCTGACAAAGCGGACGTCCATCTGAGACCTTTTGTTGTGTTAACGTTATCACGGGTGGCCGTTGAATGGATGCTGCACGATATGGGCACAGCGCCTACACAGAGGAGGACACTACAGCACAGCACATGCACAACAATCTCAACTGTCTTGTACCACGTCATGTTTATGTGTGTGGTGATGCTGACTGGCGTCTTTCCGTTACTGGAATAAACTGGTATTGCTCATTTAAATAACTGAGTGAAATGAAATGATCGAACAAAGTGTGGCTCACGCTCCGATGAAATGTGAAAGGAAGAAGTGAACGCTGCAAACTATACAGATCTCTCACGTGAGGAAGATGTTAAGCGCCAGGGAATTGCAAACAGCAGCCTCAGTAAGTTTCTAAAACAAGCGTCATGTCATCCGTTAATTCCGCAGATAAACGAAACATATGGAGTATTTGTGTATTTCCCTATGGGAATATTGCCTGTTACTAAGAGCAACAATTGCGCTATATGTTGTCAGGGGTAAATAATGCCTTGCCCAGTTGGGAACCTTCGTGTTTTATAACCCATAGGGGGAAGGAGACGCAGATAAGTACACTTCCTTTAACATCTCAAGGGAGGTTGCAGATTTTTCTTACAGCAAATTGATTGTTTCAGAACCGTTGTCATTTCATCAGTTGCCAGGACTTCTTTCCCATTTTGTAAAGTTCATTTGGTTTTCGACCCGTGAAGATCCGGGCAGAATAGATCTTCAGCAACCCATGCTTGGGTGACTATGCTTGTTGGCGAGTAACGGGATCGGGTGGTCAGGCTCGCTGACTTGGTTGACATATCATCGGTTCCCACCCAAATGGGCAAATCGATGCTCATGATGTTGATCACTGGATTGTCTGGTCCAGACTCGATTATTTACAGACCGCCGTCATATAGCTGGAATATTGTTGAGTGCGGCGTAAAACTAAATTCACTCACTCACTTATTCGTTTTTCCCATAAAGAAATTACAACACACGCATGATGATTCACATTTACAACACTAAGAACATTCTACTCAATTTATTGGTATTTCTTTTCAAATTACGATATTCCTTTCCACTTTTTGTGAGCGATTTTGATACACACAAAACAAATGCGTAGGATTTCTTAAAACATAAAATTTACAAAAATAACTTCGTAGTACAACGAACTGATGCAAACATCGCTACATTCCTATCTCCAATAAAATGGAATGAATAAGGGCTCCCTTGCAAATGCTTGTTATAAAAGTATCAATTCAAATAATGTATTGCACCATAAGCCAATACCAGGACATTTCCATCATTGTATAAAGTTCCAGTGCACCGACTGAAACTGCGTAGGTAGGTGCTAGTCCTATTCAGTTAAAATGTGACGTACGTATCTTCATTGGTACAAAAAAAAACACGACGGGGTTATGCCATCCGACTCACAAAATACAAGTACGGAGTGCATCAGAAAACCCTCCTTCTACTTATATAGGGCACTTACTTACTTAACAGGACTAGGGCACATCATTTATGGAGCAGCTTGTAAAATCAGTTTAATATGCTTCAGTACATCTTGTAAGGCCTGATGCTTTGCCTTGATACTTTCAGAACTTCGCCGACTCACAGTTTGTGCATTCAGACTGAGGAACCTTCTTTGAAACAAAGCCGTATGAAATTATCCCAACAGTAAGCTTCTATATTACGTTCTGGGAAATCCACACCAGCACATAACTGTATCATAATCCTATTTATATAGAACTGAACAGTAATAAATCTACTCACATGTATGATACTAATAAATATGTGTCTTTACCGATGGATGAAAGGATGATGATGATGCAGTTGCAGTCATCGTCATTGGACCCAAGACAATATCATCAACACGAGCAGATAGCTCTTCCACTTTTAGCTTTCAGAATCAAGAGTGATACTGACAGCACTAGAGCTTATTCTCAAACAATCAAAACAAACAATTTGTACTCTTTTCAGACTATATTTCCTGTCTCAATCAATCAAACATCCACTGTCAATTTATTAACATTCTAGAACTATTCAACGATCTTGCTACTGGCCAATAATACATTATTTTGTGTTGGTTTGCCAGTCATGGTGGAATCTTTGGTCACACAATGGCGCATGCTGCTACTAAAGCAGCTCTCAAAAAGGAAAACCAAGTTCTATGGATAGTCAACTTCTTTATTGCAATGAGTGCGACGTTTCAGTGTAGGTACTAACACTGAATTTCATTCAAAGTATATATTATTGTGAGGGTTTTAATCGTAGAATATTTACTTTTGACTCCTCATTCACACACAGAACACAAATGCGAATTACCGTCCGATGTACATTTGAAGGTATACCGATTAAAAAACACTTCTTCCAAACGTCGATATCCTTGTGATATCATTCGATTCAGAATAGGAGGGCATAGCTGTAAACGTTTTTCTCAACACTGATCGTTTTCTTCTGATTTTCATACACACGTGAACAGTTACTGGCAGGTTGCTCAGTAACTTCATGCGACACACTGATCACATCGAGGTCAGGGTCGCGCATTCCCAGTGTTTATATTGACTGTTATTGTTTAAAACATTGTTCGTTGAATAGATTTCACTTGTTGTAGAATCAGTTTATGCCATTGGCTGGTTGTAGAAATCTGAATCCATCAGACTACCAACCAGATAAGCAGTACAAGTTTGATAATGAACAAAAACAAATTGCTTCTCAATGTCTAATTTTGGATAGGCAGATTGTCGATGAAAATCATTTTCAAAATTAATGTTGTTTTTACATTAGATGCAAGAAAATCACTATTGAAGAAATACACACTTATAATGTGTTTATCTTTGAATGCACCGCCACATTTAAATTGCCAGTCATACAAGTCATCCAGAGTCTAATGGTTTCAGAGTTCACCCAGTGAAAGGTTGGAGGTCGGGTGTACGGTCCTCTTGCAAAGACTTACCAAAGTACATGCCTTGTTTCCCCGCCTGGTGCTCAGAATCACTTTGCTCGTGAGACTTTCAAAGATGTCGTAGTCACTACTATGTGCTGGAAATACTGCAATTTGAAGACACCAAAACAAAGACAATGGGAGTTATGTGTAGCAAAGCAGTTGTATTGAAACCAATCTCAAGTGTAAATCCCGCAGTTTTTCATTGAAATAACTTTGACTTTGTGAAGTCTCTAAGCACAATACAAAATGTGTCCTATCTTATGTTATGATGAGGATTGAAAGTTTTATATTGACGGAAGCATTCATAGATGCCTTCTCCAAATTAAATAAATACAGTACATCGTCACAGATTCCAAATATCGACTTGTAGTTTGTCACGTAGGAAAGTGGCATTTGATTTGTTGGATCCGCATATGTGTAAAATGAGTAAATTCCTCGGTAACAATTCCTTACTTTGACTGGGATTTAAGCTATAACCCTAACACTCACCGTTACCTCAACTAAATGTGTTAGGAGAAGTCAAAATAGACCGTAGAAACAGGTTCAGATCGATATCTACCTGGGAAAAAATCCTTTCTCTGTCATAGAAATGTCACAGGTCTTTTTTGAAATATCAACGTATGCCATTACTTTCATTCCGTTAAATGTTTCAGATATAACCATCAGTTTGGGCACTTGTAACTGGAACAGGAACACTATATGCTTCTGCAGATGGTCTGAGTACAAGTTCATACCACTTGGTGCAAAGACGCAGAGGATGTGTTTCCAATGCTTTCGAGAATTTACAAAACGTGTGGAACCCGTGAAGAGCCACCTCCTCGTGGTGGGTGCTGGGTAACGCTAAGCGCTCTTCAACCCCCCGTATGGACCCGGGGGTACATTTGGTCCACAGCATCCCATTGCTGGCCTTAAGGCGAATTGGGCAACACATTTGTGCCCCTGTGTCGGTGGAGGACGGTAATCTGGTGGTTGAGGGCAGTAGGAGCCGGGAACCGTGTTCCTATTGCCCAACACACCACTTCGGCCCTTACCTCACCTAGTATTTTTGCACATTTGAATTATTGGGTGTTGGTCATTTTGACGTCTAGTATACACAATTATTGATATATTTACTTCCTTAGAGTCCTATGCCAGAGGGCGGTGGCTCATGGGCCAATCTGGTTATATAGACCTCTGAATTCCGTGTTCTTAGAAAAGTGTCATGGGACGAACCAGCCTGACACTTATTCTTTAAGATACCATGGCTTTTCAAGTCTGTATTTTCTGGAGTATAACATCCCTGTAACCCTGGTATTGCAGTCTGGTTTCCACTGCAATACCGTCCTTGTTGACACTCATTGGCGGGTGGGGGGCAGGGTGGTTGAATTATACAATTACACCATGACTAAAAACGCTCAATCTGGTTCATCGAAAACGAGTAAATAAACGTCGTCATGTGTCTTCTTCATCCGATGAAGAGATATCTACTTTCATTAAAGATTCCTGGCCAAGGTTTTTGGTCATTGAAAGTTCTGATGGAAATCCTTTACAGATCAATCCTTTTTCCGTCTCCAAGGGTATACAAGGTATCTGCGGAGAGGTAAAAAACGTCACTCGTCTACGAAATGGTTCTCTTTTAATTGAATGCTTACGTAGGCAACAGTCTATCAATCTGCTGGAACTAAAGCAATTTGTAAACAACCAGGCTGTTGTTTCTGTTCATAAAACTCTCAACACATGTAGAGGCATTATTAGAGACAGGGCCCGCTGTCTGTCCCATATGACAGAAGATGTGATTGTATCAGAACCGAAAGACCAGGGCGTTACTCCTTTTAAACGTTTTAGCAGGAAACAAGAATCAACTTTTGTCAAAACAAATACATATCTTTTCACTTTTGGTCTGAAAACTCTTCCCAAATTCATAAAAGCTGGATACTGTAATATCGGAGTGGAGGTATATGTACCAAATCCACTCCGGTGTTACAAATGCCAAAAATTTGGACATGGTGCGAGCTCTTGCACAGGTAGGTCAGTGTGTTCACGCTGCAGTGGAACTCATGGAAGCACTGAATGTACCAATGACATGAAGTGTGCCAACTGCAGTGGTGGGCATCTGGCATCATCGAAAACCTGTCCAAAATTTGAGTATGAGTGCAAAATCCTAAATTGAACTGCAATAATAATATCTCATACTTTGAAGCAAAGAAATTGGTTCAGGCTCAATCAAGACCAGCAACAGGTCTTACCTATTCTGCTACAGTTTCTTCTCTTGTTCCCTCTTCTGTCAAAAATGCTGCATCCGTTTCAACATCTTGTCTGACTGTAATATCTTTGGTGA